CTGCCGCTGCTGTGAGGCGTCGCGAACGGCGAACTCGCCGAGAGTAGAGGAGAAGGGGCGGTTGGTAGAAAAGAGGGAGGAGAGGAGACGGAGACGGCGGGTTCACAGAGAAGAGGGAGGAATGGGTGAAAGACGGTGGAGGCGGCGAGGGATGGCGGTTGCGGTGACGCCGTGTGTGGAGAGACGATGGTGGCGGCGTGAGGAGGAGAAGAACAGGGAGATGACGGTGAAGAAAATGAAATTGGGAAATTAGGTTTGATTAGGTTTAATAAAGTAAAATAAAATAAAATATTAATATAATTAATATTTAATAAAATAAAATAAAACCTGTTTTTTGAAATGTTAAAGTAGTGACCTGATTTGTGAAATTGACATCTTAAAAACCAGCCTGGGTGTAATTTTCTCTTTGAATATCCAGTTCAATTCAGTGGGCACCAACATAAGGTTCAGTTAGTGGGTCTAAGTCCAACTTGTCACGAGCCCATCTTTGATTAGGGCTCAATTATTGATCTCTTAGCCCTTAATTATTCCAGCTACATTATAAATTATTTGTATTCTAATGAATTTCAGTATCTTTCTAAAATATGAAATTGAATTCAGCTAACATTTTCTCTGTATTCTACAAAACCTTTGACAATTATAACCACTTGATATTTTTATAATAAGCGACAACTAAGTTTTATTGTTATAATTTAGCGTCGTATATAAATTCATGGACAGACCCCATTATCTCCACCTCATAGGAACTATGAGATCATCTCAATGGCACTTTTGGCATTCAAGGTTCACTAATCGAACGTAGAACCATGTTCAAAAAGTGAAATGCATTAGCTGTTTGTACTTAGGTCAAATAGAAAGGATTGAAAGGTAATTATTCATTCTTAAAACCAGCATTTTTAAGACAAAAAGGACGGACGGACGGAGAAATTAGTTAAGGGTGTTTTCAAGCTCCTTAATTAATATGAACTTTACAAGTGGATTTATATATTTGATTTGTGTTAGGCAACTAAACGAACCTAGTTTTAGCCCTAGTGGTTGGATAGTTGACCCATAAATTTTTGAATCCACGTCAAAATGTTTTAATTAAGAATTAGTAGGTGTAAAGGGTTAGAGTAATCAAGCCTCAAAATTCAATGAGGTTTGACCTTTTAAGCAAGCGAGCCATGTGGTGCATATGCAAGGGGTTGGTGTGGGTGTGGGACAAACTCAAAATTCTCAATCTTTAATCAAAATTCAACTATTTGTGTTAATAATTGTGGATCTTCCTATTGTGAATTGATACTAGTAAAATGACACAAATGATGTGCATGAGTTGATTTATTTTATTTTTAAATTCAAATTTATGTAATTTGTTGTTATTTTGCAATTATTTTCTAAAACAAAGAAAGAAGACAATGCCACATTTTTCCGAGAAAACCTACCTTGTATTACGCGCCTGTAGTTTTTATTTCAGGTCGATATTGATTGCCTTACGAAGTGCTTGTTTTCTAGACTTTGCTCGCGTTAATAATTGAATAACGATATCACCTTGTGATTGGAACAATTTGATTTAATAATAAAGGGCTATTATAGATGAAAAAAAAATCAATACTTATCAAAATCAGTTGAGACATCACTATAAAACATAAAATATTTAAGAATTCATAGCATATACATACACCACAAGCCCAACCACTCAATAAATTTATGCGACGTTAAGTGTGTAATAAAAAAAAAAAAAAGTTTATAAAATTTATGAATTCTATAAAATATATAATTAAAATTAATTTTAATCTCTAAATTGGGAGTAATAATTGAAGTATCCCAAACAAATGTCAAGTAGAGGCTGCAAAATTGGGAGTAATAATTTGGGTGTCAAGTCTAATAATTGGCACACAAAAATCTGGCTCTGGGACCTTGTGGATATGGGTGCACCATGGTGCCAGTGTACGAATTGAAATAGTCCAAGTGGGTACGGTTTGGTCTGGCTTTACCTGCCCCTTAAAACTGTTTCCAATGCAAGCTCATCCATTTTAGTCAGTCAAGGTGTACCTAGCTACTCCACTCTACGACTACTTGTACTCATTTTTGGATTATTTCTTAATCAATACTTTCAAATAATAATACTAATTAATGAAAAAATTGGTGTTCAAGTAAATGAATCAAGATACTTGACAAAACGGTGTTTAGTATTAATCTAGGTGCTGTAGGTATCCTCAAATATACGTGGATTACCCTATAGCGAGTGTGAACATAGTATTACCCTAAGAATTAAGTTGAATGAACATAATGCTTGACATAGGGGTTGATCGACCCCTCACATTGTATGTGAATCCCAACCTGAATTAAAAAATGTCGACCTTCCCCCTATGTCAACTATTATGTTTGTATAGCAAAACTCAAATACATTTCAACTTCATTAGAGAACGTGACGTGACGTGACGTGACGTGAAAGTAATCCATATACAGTCATATTATAGATTATTGTTTATTGCCGCTAACGATAAATTCAATTCAATTTAGGAATCTACCCTCCTAAATCTTTAAATAAGTAATTTTGAGGTGATAAATGTTACACCCTCCAACATTTGTCAATGTCCCTACCGGTAGAAAAAAAGATTCAAGATAAATACCTGTCCCCTGAGATACAACTTATACCTATTCCCATTTGTGTCTCTTCTTCTTTATTTCATTTTCCCTCTCCCTGTGTATGTTTTATTGTCCCTTCCCTTGTTAATGTCACATATTTTTCTTTGATACAGTTAGGTGGGTCTGCTCACCTTCCTTTGTCAGTATTTTCCTGCCATTTTTTCCCTCAGTCATTCAAGGCTGACAATACGGACTAGAACCTTAGAATAAAATCACCCCATAAAAAAAGTGAAACCCATAATCTATAATCAAAAATCTTCTACCCTCTAATCTTTTTCTTGTTTGTCTCTTTGTTTCGTCCCAAAATGAAGACAATCATGGCCAAGAATCCCAACGACTCTTTCTCCTTTTCTAGGAGGTATTTCAACTTCAGAAAGAAGGTTGAAGATGAAGAAGATGATATGGAAGAAATCTTGAACTTCAGCTCCTCTTCAGATGACAAGGAGCTGAATTTTCCTGGGCGTTCATTATCTGCAGGTCCAATGAACGAACCCAAGAAAAAGAAGCAGCCACTGGGGGCGTTTTCTAAGATACGGTCTGTACTTTCATTAGGCAAGAATCGAACACATCTCTCATCCGGGCTGGGGACAAAAATTGTGGGCACGCTTTTTGGGTATAGAAGGGGGCGTGTGCATTTTGCATTTCAAGAGGATTTCAAGTTGAGCCCAGCATTTTTGGTTGAACTTGCAACTCCAACAAGCATTTTGGTAAAAGAAATGGCTTCTGGGCTTGTGAGAATTGCACTTGAATGTGACAAAAAGACAGAGAAAAAGGGTGTGAAGCTTTTAGAGGAGCCTATTTGGAGGACTTACTGTAATGGGAAGAAATGTGGATATGCAGTGAGACGTGAGTGTGGGCCAGAGGAGTGGAAGATCTTGAATTCTATTGGTCGAATTTCCATGGGTGCAGGGGTGTTGCCTGGTGCGGGAAATGGGGTGGAACCAGAGGGGGAATTAATGTACATGAGAGCAAAATTTGAGAGAGTTGTGGGGTCTAAAGATTCTGAAGCTTTTTACATGATGAACCCTGATGGCCATGGAGGTCCTGAACTTAGCATTTATTTGCTTAGAGTTTGAGTTAGTTCTCTATAGTTCTGCCACATCCAATTTTCTATTTTCTTATGATGAGCAAATGGAGATTGGATCATCCATGTAATATGGGTTTCTTGAAATGTTTTGAAATGGGAAATTTCTGGTGGGTGGGGTGGGGGTATATCTATGTATAGGTTCAGTTTTAGCATTTTCTCTTGCTATGGAAACTAGTGACATTGCTGAATTGTGTCTGCTTATTTTGGTTGTGTTAGATTATAAATGCCTAATTTATGAATTTTCATTTCTTGCACCATATTTCTAGTCACATGATCTTAGTTTGATAGCAAAAATGGGTTCTCAAGAGTCAAGAAGCTGTTTTTGCATTAGTCATCCATATAATCAAATGAAATTTGTGAAACAAACCAATCGATGTGAAGATTGATTCATGAATGAGAAAGGGAAACCAATATAGTCGTTATCGTGCAAACACGATATCTTGTCGAAATTATTTCGAGTATACTTTACCAGCTCTTTCTATAATAAAAATAAAGCTTACGGCACTCAAACATTGATTTCGGAGATAATGTGCTTAGTTATACTAATTTGACCCTACGAAATGCTTGCCGGGCTTTCAACTTAATTAACATTACAAAAGAGAAGCACAATCTCATGTTTTGATGTCACGAGCTACGTTCTTGGAAGGTTCGTGAAGCTTTCATGGAGGACCGTGCTCTAATCTATTCTAGCCTCACTGAGATAGCCCGCCCACTTCCTGTGCTCTAGTGATGCCTGACTAGAAAACAAGGATTCTCGGCCAATCCAAGTAATATATAG